TGCTTAATGTACATACATTATACTTGAAAAAATCCTAAAATTATATAAGAGTATAATATTTTTCTAAAAACGTAATAATATATTATGAGGTATTTAACTATGAATATTACGTTATTACGTATTATCTTGAATAGTATATACGTAATAACGTAATAGTACATATCTTGAATACGTTCAAATTCATTGAACAAATTAAATGCACATGGATTACAACATATGTATGTACATACATATACGTATATAAAAATATTGTATAATATTGTATCGTATGGAAAAGTGCATAATTTCAAATTTCTAAAATTTTCAGGAGACGTTAATTTTCTTAATTATGTCATATGTACATACATACATATATACAATATACGGTTGCAGATTTTCGACATTTACTCATAGGTTTACGGTGAAAGAGAGAAGGAGAGAAATTATATAGTAATGTTTTGATGCAAGAATATCTCTACTGTCCTCCAGACTTCGTTACAATCAAATAGTAGATTTGAAATGAAAAATATACTAATTATACGGTATAGCATGCGATAGGGCGATAAGAATAAGATTTTTCCTTGTGTCTGACAAATTCAATATACCAATAAAATAGTACCTTCTCATTGTTAGGAACATACATTCACACTTCATAAGTCTTGCGAATAAACAATATTGAAATTTCCATTTTGTAATAACACAAAAAAAGCTTGGAAAATAAAAATTTTCTTCCTTTAAAAATAACTTTTTCCATTGACATTTTTTTTTTTGGTTAAAATGTAATCCGTGTCCTGATTTAATTTCATATTATTTTTCACTTTTATTTTTTGTTTTATTTTGCAACAATACACTCTATACATATACATACATATACATTCCTATAATTAACTGTGCATTGTATGTAAATATACTCTGTGTCCCGTCTTGTATACAATAATTGTAAACAACAACAAAAAATTAACAAAAAAAATCTCTTATAAAATTAAACAAAAGAGTTTTAAACCCGAATAATAGAGCCAAAACACAAAGAGCCAACATACAAAAAAAATTTTATATAATAGTTCCCAATGAACTAATATTTACAGTACTTTGTTCCAATCTGTCATAGTAAAAATAAAATATTCGGTATATAGGGGGAGCCCTACTTACATAAATATGCATGACACAAACATTTTTTTATTTATTAAAAAAGTAATGAGAACAATAATATTTAATTTAAAAAAATTGTATCATTTTTGTTACTGTAACTTGTGTACAGTATTATGTAAATGTGGTATATACCTATGTATATAAAAATGTGTATATATTTCTGTTGTATGTTATATATAATGTTATAACAGCATAAAAATTGAGTTTCCAATCGATATATCTTTTATCAGATGTAGGAAACCTTAATTACAATTATTGATAATCAGCCGAATATTTTTTGACAATTGAAAGTCTTCTAAAAGAGTTTTTATTTCGGAGCCGAAATTGTCTCGCAATGCATAAAATTAATGGGTTGTTATGATTAGGGTAAAAGTTGACAATGTTACGTGGTCCCTATTGTATTTTAAAAAAATTTTACAATGTGACGCGCGTTCCAAATTCTATAAAATTTTTCGAAAGGCGAAAACACCAAATTGTTTATTTAGAAATTTCTAAATGCTTTGTGTAAACTTTTGGCTATAAGCACTAATTGACCCAGAACTAATTGAATTTTTTATTTACGCGTTGACACTGATGTAGAAAATTGATGTAGCCTATTACGGCTGGAAATTTTAAGGAGGATGGTCAACGTCAAAAAATCAAAATTTGTAACCTAAAATGTAAAAAAGAAGACTTTGTTTTTTACTTTATTAGTTTAAGGTGACATAGTAATAGTACCGCATCAGCAACCAAATCGGTTCGAAAATTAAATTCTTTTTATTCTTACATTACACACGTACATATATAATATGTATGTATGTACGAATAAAATTATGTTGCGAAAAAAATTTAGATTACATACGAAATGAATGAATTATATACATAATTGATATATATACGTATGTATGTGTCGATATGAAATCGAATGAACTCATAAGTCGAACAAGTATTAACTTAACGTATTTTACTCATGTCGTTTTATTACTCATAAAAAAATTATACTATGTACGAGTATTAATAAATTTTATGAAATTATAACATGAATCATGACACTACAATAATATTCAAGCCTAGACATTTTGTGCCAATTCTATATTATTGGAGACCATTTGACGGTATATTCTCTTCGACTTGTGTAAACTGAACCGATTAAAATCATTTTTACTTTAAACAAACCCATTAAAATTAATCTCGTAACCAGTCATTTTTGTAATGTCATCATGATGACAATAATACTCCAAAGAAAATTTGTAATACACATTCATTGTGTTGTACTACAGCATGAATATAACAGTTTGACAAATTTGTGTATGTGTTTTTTTATGACAATAGTATTGTAAAATAGTAAAATTTATTTAAATGTGTATGAGCTTTGTGCATATACATAATTTAATTACATATTTTAATACAATCACAGATAATGCTTTTGAATTGATTGTCAAAAAAAAAAAAAACTATATTTTACTCTTTTTCGCAAATTTTATAACATAAATTAAGGTGATAAAAGAAAATTAAAATTTATGAACGTAAATTCTAGTGTACCCATATTCAATATTATTTTATTCACCAACAAATACTTGTCAAACAATACAACAAATACAAATATAACAGATAAGAATAAAATTTATTTACATGAGATTTCGCTATTTGAGAGAGCATACGAGTAATAATTAAATTTTTCTCGAACTGAAGTTTTTTTTAACGCTTCAAATAAAATCCCGATACGGTCTCAAACCTGTTACACGCTCTATCATGAATTTGTATTCTTGTATTTTATCCAGCATGTCTTCAACTTAAAAATTAATTGCCATTCGTTAATTACACATAAACTTTTTAGGAAAAATATGGCAACACTAAAAATGTAAATGCTCTACCATCAGTATAAATTTTTGCCTTTTTGTTTTTTTATACTTATAATTTACCTGAACAATTCACATAATAAAGAAAAAATTAAAATTAGATAGAGTGTATTAAACTTAAAATTATCCATACATAAACGAGTTTTACATTAAGATTTTAACATAAATACCTATACAAATATAAAAATTTACAATTTGTTCGTAATATCTTAAAATCGTAATATCGTAAAATTCAAAACAAAAGAATAAAATTTGAGATTTTACTACATTCACACATTTCTATTCTATAAATACCCATTAAAAAATTTATGTGACGTTGATATCGGATCATAATCATAACAAAACAACTACAATCACAAAATATAGTAAAAATTAAAGTGACACAAAGAGAGTGATTCGCCACATTTCCCCACATCTCATGCATTGGCATTTTATACGATAAAAGAAATATTTGAATAACATAAAATGTTAATGTGTATGTGTATGAAATCTCATGGAAAATCTCTTGTGTCATCATTCATTTACTCATGATTTACTTCGAATTTTTTGTGTGTGTTGAAAAGTAAACACTTATGCATACACTCAAAAAAATTGTATGTAGATTGGAGTGTTTTGTTTGAACTCAACACACTTACATAATACAGTAAACACTTTGAAGAATTTTATATAAAAAAGAAGTAGACGCACAAGCAAGGTCGTTCGCGTATAAACTCAATCATAATTTGAAGGTCGTTTCATATAAAAATGTTTTTGTGTGCTGCTTTTGCTCTGTTTGTTGTTTTTTTTTTATTTTTATTTATGTCTTCTTTTTTTTCCCTTACGTTTTTCTTTCTTGTTTTGTTTGCTTCTTTATTTTTTCTTATTCAATTTATTGTTTTTATATTTTGTGTGTTGGTTTGTTATTTTGTGCCTTTTGTTTAATTCCTTAATAATAAGTCACGTGATATGATTTTCCAAAGAAGTTTTTTTTGGTGGTTTTTTTTTTTAAATAAATGCTATGCAGGTTTCAATCACACCATTTTTTTTTTTTTTTGCTTCTTATTATCTCATGTTTGTAATCATTGTAGTTATGCATTGATTGCATTTCCTGGTAATGAGAAAAATATTGCTGAATTTTATTCTGCATATGTATGTATGTTTGTATGTGTACGTGTGCAAAATATCATGGTGGTGTTGGAAAAATGTTATTTTTTTAAGGGTTGAATTTCTTTGTTTTTAATGTTAATTTTTTTGTTTTGTTTATTAGGCTTTGAGTGCAAGTTCACAGGTTGTTGACATTTTAGTGAATAAAATTAAAGTGATTTGCCATTTACATATGTACTTCTTATGTAGAATTAGTAATAAAGGATATGTGGAGAGTATGTTGAATATCGTTTGTTATTGAAAAATATGGCATGTTATTGGCTCATAAAATTTATTTTATTTAGAATATAGTTGAGGAGTAAGTAGGTACTTGAAATGTATTTTATGCTTTCAATTGGAAACCATAAATTTTAAAATGGGTTGGCATAAAATTTTCTACAAAAATTTCTGCATATGAAAATTCAATTTTACGCTTACTTTAATTAATATTATGCTTTTTAAAATTTAAATTTAAAATTTTAGAAATAAATCTTGTTACCTATATAATTTAGACTGGGCCCTAAAATAGCACAAATTAATTGAAACATAAGCATTAAGAAACTGAAATTTAAAAATATTTAATTGTATTCCAATTGAATTGTCTGGTAAGCCTATAGTAAGACTTCATATGTAACTGTTTACAATATGATTAAAAAAACCTGTTATACAAGTAATAATCAAAATGAAGGCTCTATCACCCCATCTATATTTTGTTTTTATTTCATTTTGTAAATTTTTGACACGACATTTTATTCTCATAATTAACATTAATTAAATTTGTTTTAGCACAAGCTAGTTCAAAATTTTATGGAAATTTTGGAAAATTATTACAATTTATATTAATTAATTCAATTAATTTATTAATTAAAATGTTTATTAATAAAAAATATTTTATTCTTTTGTTTTTTTTAGAAATGCATCATCATTATAATTCATAAAGTTAAAACAAAATTGGAACGCACAAAGTTTTTACAGTCAAAAACTAATTTAGAAAAAGAAAAGAAAATCATAAAAATTTTATAAATTTTGTAAAATGTTAACAAATGATGGGGATTTATCCCCACAACAGACAACAACATCATCATCATCATTATCATCATTAGGTAGTATTAATGCAACAGCGGTAATTAATGGACCAAATTCAACTAATATTAATAATTTATCACATCAACAACAACATCAGCAACAACAAATCACTAGCGTTCCACATTCAGCAATCATTCGAAATAATATTTCGGTAACAAATATTAAATGTGAAGATAATCTCATTCCAAATGGATTATTAAATAATTCAATACAACAACAACAACAACAATCATCGTCAACAATAACACCAATTCAGACAACAGTTAATAACTATTATAATGGAATACCTCAATCAACAACGACTGCACCGAGTGGAATTAGTGGTAGTGGTAGTATTAGAATAGCAGTGCCTAAAGTTGAAGAATCTGATGATGAATCAGAATCTGAACTTTCAAATATTGAAAATTTAAAAGTTAGTCGACGTTCAAATAATAATAAAAATAATGGGCCAAGACCAATGTCATGGGAAGGTGAATTATCAGAAAATGAAAATGAATTAATGGAAACTGATCAAAATCAACATCATCACAATCATCATAAAAATAATAATAGCAGTAATAATAATAATAATAATAATAATAATAATGATAATCTCCATCATCATCATAATCATCACCATAGCCATCATCATCCACCAACATGTATAGTTAAAGAGGAACCAAAAGCATTAAATGAATATGATTCAATTAATTTGACACATTCAACAGCGAATACAAATAGTGGACAATTAATATCACCGATTAATGCATCGAATAAAAAATTTCTTCATCAAAATGAAATTTTGAATTTGAAATATGAACCAGGTACAACAAATTTTCTTGATAATTCATCATCTGGAATTGGTTCTAGTACTGGTGGCGGTGGCAATGGTGGTGGTGGTAATAGTGGTGTTAATTCGCCATTATTAGCTAGATCAAAACTACAAACAACTTTATTACCTGCAAATCCAAGTCCTGATTCTGCTATTCATTCCGTATATACGCATAGTTCACCTAGCCAATCACCATTAACTTCACGTCATGCACCTTATACACCATCATTGAGTCGTAATAATAGTGATGCATCGCATAGTAGTTGTTATTCATACAGTTCTGAATTTAGTCCAACACATTCACCTATCCAAGGTCGTCATAATATTTATGGTGGCAATGGTACAACATCATCTGTTGCAGCTGCAGCAGCTGCAGCTGTTAATTCAAATAATGGTCAACAATTTATTCATTCCATTTTATATAGGCCAATTCATGAAAATTTAGACAATAATGGTCAACATCAGCAACAACAACAGCAGCCAATTTTATTAAAAAAAGAGCAATTGGGTATTGTTACATCACAAATGAATTCAGTGAATTCGAATAATTTAAATGTAACACCTACAAATAATGTAGATTCAAAAGATTTTTTAATTGATAATGAATCAGGTATTCCATCACCTGGTATCTCAAGACAACAACTTATTAATAGTCCATGTCCAATATGTGGTGATAAAATATCTGGTTTTCATTATGGTATATTTTCTTGTGAATCATGCAAAGGATTCTTTAAGAGAACTGTACAAAATCGTAAGAATTATGTTTGTGTTCGTGGCGGACCGTGTCCAGTTACAATTTCAACACGCAAAAAATGTCCTGCTTGTCGTTTTGATAAATGTCTCAATAAGGGTATGAAATTAGAAGCGATACGTGAAGATCGTACAAGAGGTGGTAGATCAACTTATCAATGTTCATATACATTACCAAATCCATTAATTTTATCAGAAAATACAGCAGCAAATTTATTACAAGCAAATGCTAGAATCAATGGTTGTATTATAAATTCAGAAGCAAGTTCTGATTCAAATAGTATTGGTGGATCATCGCAAAGTTCACAAAGAAGTAATACAGTTCCACAATTGTTACAAGTGAGTCTTTACAATATATTTATTTCAACTAAAGCAATTTATTAAAAATTATTTTTGTTTTATGTTCCATAGGAAATAATGGATGTTGAACATCTATGGCAATATAGTGAAACTGAATTAGCACGTTTAAATCAACCGATTAATTCTGCAACTGGATCATCTTCAATGGATAGAAATACACCATCAACTTCAGATGAAACAAATAATTCTACAGCAAATAATATAACATCAAATCCTTTATTAGCTAGTACTGGTTTATCATCGAATGGTGAAAATACAAATCCTGATTTAATAGCTACTTTGTGCAATGTTGCTGATCTTCGTCTTCTAAAAATTGTTAAATGGTGTAAAAGTTTACCACTTTTCAAAAATATATCGGTAAATTTTGTTTCTTTTCTTTTTTCTAATTTCGAAAAAAATGAAATAACTAATTTATTATTATAATTTTAGATCGATGATCAAATATGTCTTCTGATAAACTCATGGTGTGAATTGTTATTATTTTCATGTTGTTTTAGATCTTTATCATCACCTGGTGAAATAAAGATTTCCCTAGGTAAAACTATTACATTGACACAAGCTAAAACCAGTGGTTTACAGGTAATTATTTTCAATATAATTTTTAAAAAAATTTAGTTTTAATACCAAAAAAAATAATAATGTTTTACAAATTTTAGGCTTGTATTGAAAGAATGTTAAATTTAACCGAACATTTAAGACGATTACGAGTTGATCGTTATGAATATGTTGCCATGAAAGTTATTGTACTTTTACAATCAGGTAATAATTGATTTAATATTTATTAAAAAAAAAAAAAGAATAACTAAATTAATTCTAAATTTTAGACACAACTGAATTACAAGAACCAGTTAAAGTTAGAGAAAATCAAGAGAAAGCCTTACAAGCCTTACAAGCGTATACATTATCACATTATCCTGATAATCGATCAAAATTTGGTGAATTATTATTGCGAATTCCAGAATTACAAAGGACATGTCAGGTATCTATTTATACCCTAAATATAACTAGAATAAAAATTTTCAATTTTTTTTTTTTTTTTGATTTTTATCTAATTTTGATTATTTAAATTACTCTTTTTAGCTCGTTAAAGAAATGCTTCTTATTAAATCAAAAGATGGTGAAGATTTTAATTTACTTATGGAATTGCTACGTGGAGAACATTAAATTGCAACAATAATTCAGCAATATTTAATTATTACCTAATTTATATGTCTTTAGATTCATTAAATTCATCAGCGCGTAATTATTACATTCATCGTTATAAAAATTATCATTAAATCATCATTATTGCATCATTATTAATTATTTAATTATAATTAATTACAATACAAATGAAATGAAAACAAACACAATATAAAACGTCTCCATATAATCATTAAATTTTTATAAAATTAATTTATAAAATATTAAAACTTTAGTTTTTAAAAACTTATAGTTAAAAAAAAAGAATAAACCACCTAATAAAAAAGATTTTTTTTTTTAAATTATACAAGAAAAAAAAAGTCTTAGAATTTAAGATGTAAGAGAAATAAGTAATAATTAACTTAATTAATGTAATAATTACCTTAATTAAAGAAAAAAAAAAAAGATTTATAAATATTTAAAAAAAAAAAACAAAACAGAACCAACTCAAGACGTGCCTGAACTGCTAACTGCAAAAAATTAAAAAAAAAAAATTAATCTTTAATTATTATCATTAAGTAATTGAAATTAAAGAAAATACAATGAATAGAAAAATGAAAAATTAAAAAAATTATAAAATATTTTAAATAGAAAAATAAAACACAAATTCTATTAATATATTGGAATTGCATATAGGCTTCTTATACTATTTAAAATTTGAATTAAAATTTAATAACATTTAAAATTATATAAATAAATATTTTTAAAATTTTAATCGGCTTTCAATTGATATTTAAATTTTCATTAAAAAATTAACTATTATTAAAGAATAATCATTCGAGCTGAATCTAATGTGAAAAATTTTCCTGAATAAATATCAAGTTACAATATTTTATGGATGAACTTTTAACAGCTTGAATGTTAATTAAATATTTAAAGATTTAGTTTTTGATAATTGTTTTATAATAGAGAAAAAATTGTCTTGCACAATTTGATTATATAAGAAAAATTAATTTTAAGTTTAATATCATTGTAATTTAATTGAAATTTTGTAAAATATACCAGTTTAATCCATTCATTATCTAGTTCTATACAATAAATACCGGATTAAAATGGATTTTTATCTCGCTCTGTCCAATCATATTCTTTAAAATAAACCAGCTTAATCGGTTTTTATATAATTCTGTGTAAAAAATAATTCTATCTTATTTAATTTATAGGATTACAATTAAAATTATTATTACAATTTTAATAATTGTGCGTCATGGCCCTGGAATATAATATTATGATATAAAATATAATTTCATAATATTTTATTCATTAAATATTAATTATATTTATTTCAAAGTCGATTAAAATCTTAAAAATATTTTAAAAACTTAATGTTCCTTTTCAATTTGCTTTTTTTGTTTCTATCTTTATAAACAAAAATCTTGTAATTATCTAAAACTTTATTTTTTATCGAATTATACTATTAAATTTTTTATATTATAATGCAATATAAAATTTCATAATTTATTGAATATTAAAGTAAAATCATTTGAATTTTATTGAATTTTCTTTAAAATATTGAAATTTAAAATTATCTCTCAGTCTATAATCAGAATTGCTATAGAAAGAAAAATGAAAACACAAATTTTTGACATTATAAAAATTAAAAACTTACACAAAATATAAATTTGGATTTATAAATTAATCCAAAATTTTAAATTGTAAATATACATATAATTTTGATTATTATATTAAAATAAATTAATTATAAATTAAAACATAAAAAATTAATTAGTGAATAAAAGTTAAAACAAAAAAAAAAAAAAAAATAAAAAAAATTATTGACTATTTCCAGATTTTATTTTTTTTTTCAAAATCAAATTTAAATTTAATTGTAGATTTTATATACATATGATTTTTTAAATTATTATATAATATTATTTTAGTTATTAAAATATAATGTTAAAAAATTAATTACTATCATTATACTTAGAATATATAATTATTATATTTTGTAATTTGTCTTCAGGATTTTAAAATAAGATTATTGAAATTTAGATAAAAAAAAAATTAATAATAATATTAAGTTGTTTAAGGATATTTTTTTTTATTTAAAATTTTTGGAAATGTTTTAGTTTACAATATTATAACAATGTAATTATTATTGTTTTTAATGGAGGTAGATATTAAAAACTAATCGGTGTAAATTGTTATTAATTAAAATTCTACATAAAAATAATTTTAATAAAATTATTTAAAAATCTATAAGTATATAAAATGTGAAAGTAAAAATCCATTAAATAATTTTAAATATATTGGTTATTGAAAAACAATTTTCACTATTCAAAAATTATTCTATTAAATTAACATGCATTATATAAAATATGCTAATGTAAATTAATGATAAAATAAAACCCTCTCTGTATGTAATTTCACATTTTAGTATTTTAGTATTCATTCTTATAGATCAGATTATTTTATAAATATTGCTCAATCTTCTAATTTTTACATATTTTCTTAATTTCAATTTATAATCTACTAATGTAAAATAAACATTAACATGAAGTTAACTACTGCCTCCATTAAAATTATTTTCTTATTCTTTAGACTTTTTTTTTTATTGTAAAAAATTAAAAATTTTTTACAATTATAATTTCTTTTTTTTTAAATTAATTAATTATTCAAATTATTTTTTTATTATTATATTTTATAATATTATAAATATTATTATTTTATTAAATATAGTGATTAGATTCCAGTACATTTTATTCAAATATAATTTTTTTTTATAATTTTATAATAAAAAAAAAATTTTAATATATTTCTATTAATTGTCGAAAACAAAGAAAATTTAGAATTTCTTTATGTAAAAAAAAAAACCATATTGTATTTATATAGATTGGTATATTATGTATGAATATGTCCTTAAAGGATAACTTTTTTTTTTTTTTCAAATTAAATTATATTACATAAGAAATAGAATAATATTATTAGATAAAAAAAATTTTTTTTAATATTATTTTTTTCTTTTTTTTTTGTTTTTTAAACATTATTTTCTAAAAAATTTATTTAGTATCTTAAATTTTGTGATTAAATTTTGCTTTAAAAAAAAATACATAAATAAATATGTAAAGGAAAACTTTATCAAGTTGTTGTTATGGTAAAGAAAACTTTTATAAAAGAATATATATATATATATTTTTTTAATTTTAATTTTCAAAAGAAATTATGTTCTTCCTGTATTTTACAAAATAATTATATTTAAATTATTATAATGAAAATATTTTTAAATAATTATAATTGAAACTAAAAATTAAAATATAATAGAAGAATATAAATAAAATTATAAATTCAATTATAATAATTAAAGATAAAAACAAATAATTTTTGTAACAAAAGAATTCAATTATGAAAATTTATTCAAAATCATTAATGAAACGTTTTATGTATGATCCTCTTATAGAATTAAAATTAGAAATGTAAATTCATTTTGAAAAATGAATATTATGCCATTATAAATTTTAGGAATTCTTATTTATTTATTCGTTAATATTCCATAAATTTAACCATAACTTTTTTATTTGCTAAAATATTATTATATTTATTTTTCGAACAAGAAATCGTATTTAAAAACTACATACTATTCTTAGAAGTTTTTTTTTAAAATATTGTTGTTAATATTTCAATTAATTATTAAATTATTGACATTAATTAATTTAATATAACAATATATAACTATTTTGTTTAAATAATTAAAAAAATTTTAAAATATCATACATTAATTGTTTCTTTAAAACAAATTATTTGATAATGTTTTTTATTTTTTATTATTTATTTAATTGATTTGTTAAATAAATATATAGAAAATATTCAAAAATAAAAAAATTTTATTATTTTTTGAATTAAAACATTTGATTAAAAAGAAAAGTAAATAAAAAAATTTTTGTTTTTATCAATTTTATAATATGATGGAAAAATATACACAAATATAATACAAAAGTATAAATTTAATAGTAATTATTTTATTGATTGGTTTTATGTACATATTATATAAATAATTATTAAATGCATTTTATTATTTTAATTACAACTTTAATGTGATTTCTTTTCAATTGTTTTAGAAAGAGAACAAAATTAAAGATTTTGTTAATTGAATTTTTACAAATTAAATTCAAATACAATTTAAATATAATTTTACTTATAATATTTGCAATTAAAACATTTTTATTTTGTGAAATTATGACTTTTTCTATATTTGTTTTAAGATTTTGGATTTATATATAATTCTTATACGAGTACAAAATACCATGAATCAGTCGAAAATTTTAAAATAAATTTATATATAGTCTTCCGTTAGATAATTTTTTTTATGGTTTGTATCATCTAATAAAAAAATCGTACAATTTGATTTTAGAGTGATCTTGATGCAAAACACTTTTAAGTATCTTCTAATAATATAAAATAATTCTTATTTTCATTATGATTTGTATTCCATTTTTGGTGTTATTTTGATGAAATGCGAAATTATTCATTGAGTTAAAATTATTAAATAAAATATTCATTGAGTTAAAATTATTTTAATAATTGTCTGATATTCCAATATAGAAAAATTGTATATCATTTTTATAACGAATCCCTTATAAATATTAAAAGTCATAATACACAAAAATATACAATATATATATATTTTTTTTGTTAATTTCATTACAATGCTATTTCTTCCGAATTATATGTAATTTATTTTATAATCTTTTTTTTAATATCAAAGATTATAAATAAAATATATCTTATTAATTTAATAAATACTTATACATAATTATATTTGAATAAATAATTCACATTATTAATTATATAGTTTATTTTTTTTTTTAAATAATTTCAATGCAATATTAATTATATAAAATGAATTATATAAAATATTTGAATTAAATTATTTATAATTTAATTTATATTATAATTTCAGATTAAAGAATCTTAATTTAACATTGCTTATATTTGTATTTTTAAAAATTTATTATTATTTTTTATTTTTAAATATTATTTAAATTCTTTTATTTAATATTTTAGAAGAGAAGAAAAATATAAAAAATGCAATAATATTGTATGCATAAATATTTTATTATAATGAAATTATTATTAACAATAATATTATGAAAACATTCTAGTTTTGGAAATAGTAAATAATAAAATTTTTAATTTAAAATTACAAAGTTAAAATTAAAAAAAAAAAAAAAACAAAGAAAATTTTATTATAGATTTATGTACATTGAGATAATTATAATTAAAAAAGAAAATAATCATTATTAGCACAATCAATAAACAATAAAATAAATAAAATAAAATAAAAATTAAAATTTGAATTAGAGTTCTTAAATAAATTTACTAATATACTTTCATATTTTTTATTCTATCAATTAGTTCTTTAATATATTTTTATATTTTTTTTTTTTTGAATTTTTTGTATTTTAAAGTGATTCCTTAATAAAATTCTAATCTAAAAATCTAAGACAATGAATTAAAGACTTAAAAGTTATACATATTATGTTCAGTAAATGAATTTATAAATTAAATTATTCATTTTTTTCTAATTCACTCTTATACATTATTCTAATATTTTTATAATGGTCGCAAATTTAATTTAAAATTTAAGTACAAATTTTTCAAAATAATAAAATAAAATTTTCAGAAACTCAAAAATATTTATAATATTCTTTTTTATGAATAAATAATCATTAATACACAATGTGTAAAATAATTAATTGAAATTTATTTGAAAATCAAATCAATTTTTTCAAAATTTTTATATTTCCTTAATTGAATAACTTAAAAATATTTAACAAGAAAT